CAAACTCGAATTTCAAACCAATAAAATATTGATGATATACTTACAATATTTAACAAGAAAATGTTTAGTGGAGCTTCAGGTGTAAAGAGAAAAAAAAACAATAAACAGTATTAACGATATTAACGATAATGTTCACTAAAGACAAAATTCAAATGAATAATAAAAGGAAAATACTGTACGTTTGAAAAGGTGTCTTGAAAAAAATCAGTTTCAAATAATATTTATACGCGAATTTACGCGTAAATTACATCATATGATTGAGCATTGTATATTCAACCAATCAACATAGTAAATTATCAGCTGAGCACTTTTACTTAATGAACGACTATGATTCATTAGTTTAGTGATTGATCAATTCCGGCCCATCCGACCATGGTTCCGATGCATTCCGACCAGGAATTTTGGGATTGCCCTGTATGAGTTTCGTTTAGATAAAGTTACGTTATTTAACGTTAGAGGTTCAATGAACCGCGATTATCATACGATTAAATTTTGGCCAATAAAATTTCGATTATGCATGATGATCGTCATGTGACTACCGATTTCTTATGGACTTAATATACAATGTTTTATTGGCTCACTACAGCACTAAAGTATACCATCGCACTATTGAACCATCGATCTTAGTTTTTTATTCATAATGGAAGACAGTAATGCAAATGCAAAAAGAAAGCGTACGCTTGACATTATAGTCGATTCACCCAATAACTTAGATTTGGACACCTATATTGCGAATTATAAAGGTTAGAACTGAACAGCTGTCTTTTTTACCGATCCCCTACCTTTTTTAAAACTAAGTACGCTTATATTTATTACAGGGCACACCAAAGTTGATCGTTTACTCTTTATGGCAAAACGATGTCCTCCTCTACAGATTGATGCGTACAAGCTTGCCTTGCAAGAACTACGCGATAACTCTTTAGATCATAATAAATATCTTAACACTGCTAATAAACTTAATGAAGTTTTAGCTTCTCAAGGTTATCCATCGTATCCTGTGGATAACGCGTGGGTTGAAACGACTCAAAAACGCGCAAAGGCTGCTTTAGAAAGGTTAGAGGTTGAATTGAAAAATTTCAAGAATAATTTAATAAAAGAAAGCATAAGAGTAAGTATATTGGGATTATTTATATTTCAATGCTAAGTGAATTTGTTAACCAATTTTAATATATCTTATAGATGGGCCATAATGATCTTGGAGATCATTATTATAATTGTGGAAATCCGACTAATGGTTTAAAATGTTATTCAAGAACAAGAGATTATTGTACTACATCAAAGCATGTTATAGAAATGTGCTTGAACGTGATCAAAGTATTGCTTCAACACTTTCTTTGAATTTATATTCATTTGTGCTTAGTTTATTCTAACTGTTGAGCTCTATTTATTGCAGGTTTCCATCGAATTGGGTAATTTTTCTCACGTGCATAGTTATGTTATTAAGGCTGAGTCTACTCCAGATATTCAACCTGTAGTGCAAGCGAAGCTTAAAGTTGCTGCTGCGTTGGCACATCTTGATAGTAACAAATATAAGCAAGCTGCGAATTTGTTTTTGGAAACTAGTTTTGAGATTTCTCATCCTCAAAATAATTACTCTGAGGTAAATTATTAAATAAGTGTGATGGATGACATTTACATATATGGTCGATTTTTTAATAGAAATTATTATTTGACATCTAGGTCATATCTCCCAACGACATAGCTGTATATGGTGGCTTATGTGCACTTGCATCTTTTGACCGTAAACAACTTAAAAAACAAGTGATTGATAATACGGAATTTAAGCAATTTCTTGAACTTGAACCTCATATACGAGAGCTCATTTATGGATTTTACAACTCAAAATATTCAATTGTGTTGGATATTTTAGAGAGATGGAAGGTAACATGTTTTACTCTTGTCATTGGACGAAATTGGCAAAATTTTAATAAATAACTATCTATTATTATTTTGATGGTTAGAATGATTATCTACTTGATCTTCACTTACACAACCACGTAGAAAGTCTTTATGACAACATTCGTAAAAAGGCACTAGTACAATATTTCAGTCCTTTCCTTACCGTAGATATGAATAAAATGGCACAATCCTTCGGAACCACTGTTCCAAAATTGGAAAGAGAACTCGCTAAATTGATTACGGAAAACCACATTCAAGCACGAATTGACAGTCATAAAAAGGTTTTTTATTTTATTGATTTAATTTTTAGATAGTTTCGCGGTGCAAGTAAATAAATAATTTCCTCCATTTATCGTAATAAAAGATTCTGTGCGCTAAGCAACAAGATCATCGTAGTGGTATATTTCAAAAATCATTGAAGATGGGCGACGAATATGAGCAGAGTACTAATGCAATGTTACTTCGTATGAATTTGCTGAAAATGAATCTTATCGTACAAACAAATCAAAAGTATGTATATATATGTATATATTCTCGTTTGACATGATAACTGTAAGATGACCAAAATTCATTTATCTTATCAGGGGAGAAGGAAGTAGGCGTCACTAGTGATCTTGGCCAACAATAAAAAAATCGACTAAAGCTGATTCCTACTTAACTGGTCGACTTTTTCAAAATTTGATTGATGGATTTTTATAATGATGATAGTTCATACATAAGCTTTTATCATTACAAAAAGTTGTGTATATATATTGAGCCATACCTTCTTGTATATCATTAGAGATATAGTGAATAAGCGATGTACTTAAATAATGGATTTAGATCAGTGAAAATCTTTTAATTAGCATTAAAGTTTTAATTAGCGAACACACATTGGACTTTTAGATTAATATTCAAATAAAGAGAATAATTTCATAAGTCTTATTTGTAGCGCTTTAGGCCTGCCGCTACCAGGAATGGTTTTAAAGCTGAAATTGACTGAATCTCACTACCGCTTATCAGCCAAGTTCTATTATTTTTATACAGTATTGCCTGTATGTACTATTTTTTAATGAATTCTTACACTTTGGAGGGTTTTACGTTTAAATAAGTGATCATTTAATCCTCTTCGCAATGGATGCACCTTTGATGAGGCGCAGTTGACCACGTTTATCAATTTCGTAAATTTTGTAAAGGCCTTCCACGAAATATAATTTTTATAAGATATTTTATTATTTTGATAATATTTTATTATGATAACCCGTCTTGAGTAAAATTCATGTTCATACAAATATACGATTTTTATCATGGTTAATTCAGAATGTGCTGTATTAAATCAATGCCTGAACCTCGACCTAATAATATGAATGAGAAACATTAATAAAATCAACATAGGCAATTGCGGATTATTTCAAGGGTATTAAGTCAATTTGGTTTAATTGACGGGCAGGCCAAATCACTAAATATTTAACTTACATTACCAATATAGAGCAAAAGATTCATGGTTAATAATAATGAATGAAAAAAAAGCCAAATATATAGTACGCAACTCGACAATAAACCTTTATCACGTGACACGAAATTGTCTTTAACAGTTAATGGCGTAATAAGAACTACGTGTTTGCGTTACGCTTTGTCAAATGGTTAATTCTGAAGATTCGTCGAATGAGGGCTCTGGTCAAGTACTATCCCACGCGGAAAGAGCTGCTCAAAAGCTGTCAACTGAAGTAAGATTTTAAAATTTCCTTTTTATAATTATTATTTTTAATTAAATAGTTTATTGGGGCGAATAGGAGCTTGAACGAAAAGTAAAAGATGTTATTCGACTTGCTTTGTCGTCAGAACTTCGCAAGATTCCTTTAAAGCGCGATGAAATTACAAGAAAAAGTATAACATATAACTAAAGATCATTCTTTTTTTTTCGCGTAATTTGTCATAGTAACTTTTTTTTTTTAAACCAGTATTACACGAGCACTCTAGAGCATTTACAGTAGTGATGAACAAAGCTCGAGAACGTCTACGTGACATATTTGGAATGGATTTAGTGGAATTGCCAGCCAAAGAAAAAAAAGCTGTTACGAGTTCTGGAACTACGCGTAGAGGTAAGACATCTTTTTGTAAAAAAATTAATTTATTAAAATTCTAAAATTATTTTAAATCATAGGTGGTGCAAATAAGGACAAGTCATCCTCGGCTTCAAAATCATATGCTTTACAAACTATACTACCACAAAAATTAAGAGAGACTGGTTTGATACAATGGGATCGAAATGGAGAACAAGAAACTATGGGACTACTCACCGTCATTCTTTCTTTGATCCATGTAAATGGACGCGTCTTATCGGATGGTAAGTATATAATGTGACTACCGTCATTTAACATATTTACTTATACAATTCTTGTTTTGCATGTATTGTTATCTAGATCAACTTAGACACTACTTTCGCACCCTTTACCTTGATAACAATCCAAATTTTGAATTAGAAAAACTTTTGGCGAATTTCGTCAAACAGGGATATTTAGACAAACAAAAGTCAGGATTTGCTGACAGCTCTTCACAGGCTCCAGAAAAGGACCATGTAGAATATCGATGGGGCCCAAGAGCAAAAATTGAAATGCCAGAAGCAAATCTTTGCGATTTCGTCAAATCAGTAAGCATCGTTATCAAACGTTTAACGTTATTTTGTCATGTTAATCATTCTCATTTAATTCATAGGTCTACGGAGATGATGCACCGCCAGATATAGTTAAACAAATTGAGAGGGCGTCTGGAATAGCGATCGAAAAATAAGCAAATTTTCAGCTTAGTAGATTTTTTTTCATATTATTGATATAGTGCATAGGCAAGATACTCAAATAATAGATTTCGATCAATGAGAAATGATATACAGTAATATTTTAATTAGCATAATTAGTACTATAAACATAAACATAATACGATGTTATTGACAGAAAATCTGGACTTTTAAATCTTCTGACATTCTAATAAAAGAATAGTTTCATGAGTCTTTTATATGTAACATCTTAGATCCACATAATATTCCATCAATATTTCGCAGACATCTAAGATACTTTATTATCGATATTTGAGTCTTGCTTTGATGGATATACATTATTAATCAGAAGCACTAAGTATGGCTAAAATCAATAGAGGCAAGATCATTAATTGCATGATGTTTTTTCATTAAAAATAAATTACATTTTTAGCTTAATTGATATGAAGTTTCAGATCCGTTTATGTTACTGATGTAACTAATATAGAGCCATTTTCATAATTTTTAAGAATTCAGGATAATATATAATTGAATTTAAAGTGCTGATTTGCATCGATCTACGAATACGCATCAGAATTAGGTTATTTTTTTTAAAAAATTTTTTTTAATAAATAATCAAGACTAGCTTCACGCCAAAATTAAGCCATTTTCACAAGATTTTTAAAAAAATTTCGTAATAAATATCGTATTTTCTCGACATGGGCTTATTTAAAAGTCGCGCTCTCTGAAAATAGCAATTATGGTTCGGCGGTTCTTTTTCTAGTATAAAACCAGATCCAACATCAGCAATTTCTACAGTATATAAAGAGATCTTCGATAATCAAACCCGTT